CCTGGAAACCGCATTTGCTACCTTCCCCCTACCCCGTTCCATGTCGGACAGACGCCCGGGTGGTATGCCGAGCGCAAAGGACCCCAGGTCAGCACCTCCAATGCCATCAGCTCGATTAGCACCTGCGTTGGACCGAAATGCGCTTTCAGACGATGTACCTCCGCCACCGCTCCCGAAAGATGACCCTCCTGCGACGGCCATGGGCGTGGGCCATAAACATGGCGCTTCGATAGACAGCAAAAGCAGCTACCGGACATCGCTGGCAAGCACGCGGTATGGAGACAATAGGAATTCCAAGCGGTCGACTGCCATGTCGAGCCGTCGGCCTTCGTTTGGGAGCGTCGCGCGCGATCCGTACAAGTTTGTGGATGATGCTCCCCCGGTTCCGTCTACTGCACCGCAGCAACTCCTGCGCCCCTCCAGGATTTCGGATTCCTCCGTCGCCGAAGTCGCGGACAAGCGTGAAGGCAGGGGTGAAATATACAGTGGCTTCGATTTCGGGGTGTCGGAACGGCCGACGAGTGCCAAGGCTGAGATTGACCATGTCAATGCAAGTGCGCTCCGAGTCTCATCGCATACCAATAGCAACTCCGATCGTCTTAGCAGCAACCGTGGATCCGCAGAGTTGTTCTTCCAAAGCCCGGCCCAGAGTTCCTATGGACCCCCGCTCGACTTTGAGCTACCAAATGAGCCACTGGCTTCGCCTGCGACCCCGGCCAACGGGGAGTACAAGGCCTTCAAGCCACAAAGCTCCGATTTCCTCCAGCCAGCAGACGCGGAATCCGGTCGCTCGAATGAGCGAGATACCAATCAAAGGAAGGATTCTGATTCGGCTAGTGACGGGAACAACTCTGTTTCCAACTTCGCACGAGCACTGGGACTAGAGGTCGACCACACTGCGAATAGTTCAATAACCTCGTCGGACTCCTCACCGTCAGACACCACCCGCAGTGGAACGTCTCTATCCAGTCTGCCATCGGAAGCCAGCATGTCCCGACGGAAACCCTCAGATCAGGGTCGTCTGGGTCCTGTTGTGGCGGAAGAGAAGAAGCCCCAGCAGCCTGTGCTGGACGAACCGGTCCTCGAAAGTCCGACCGCCCTCGAGCCACCGCGGATTCCAGAAGCCTTATTCAGCCCTGACTCGCCAACTGACCCTGCCATTAGTCAGGGTAGCCTGTCGCTTGTTTCTGAAAAGAAACCCCGGCGTCCTGAGGGGGAGGAGGAGAACCCACCCCGACCAGGGATGGTGCGTTCTGCGACGGCACCGCCGCCGCGACCCTCACCTCGGCCCAAGGGCCCCTGTCGTGGTTGCGGTGAAATGATCATGGGCAAGTCCGTGTCGTCGGCCGACGGCCGTCTGACGGGCCGATACCACCGCGCCTGTTTCGTGTGCTTCCAGTGCCGGACTCCCTTCCAGACGGCCGACTTTTACGTCCTGGAAGATCGTCCCTATTGTGCCCAGCACTATCATGAACGAAACGGCTCCCTTTGCCAGACCTGCCATACTGGCATTGAGGGCCAGTACCTAGAGACTGTTGAGCGCCGCGGCCGTGGGCCCGCGGATCGTCAGAAATTCCACCCGGACTGCCTGAAATGCCGCACCTGCCAGATTCCTCTGAAGGGGGATTACTTTGAATGGTATGGTCAGGTATACTGCGAACGTGACGCACGACGGGCGGCAGCTGCTACGCCGCCACCGCCTCGTCCTCGCCGTCCAACCATGCCCTCGTCTCCGTTAGCCCCGTCCGGCCGTGGATATCCACCACCGCCTCCGGGGTACATGGGCCCTCCTGGCCCTGGTCCTGGTCCTGGCTTTGGACCCGGTCGCGGACGGGGTCGTGGACTGCGACCACCCGGCCCGGTCGATGGGCCGTACGCAGCGACGGGACCCCTTCCTCCCGCGCGACGTTTCCCGGAGCGCCGGACTACCAGGTTGATGATGATATGATATCCCTAATGGCTATTCTGAATAGGTGTTACGCTGCGGACAGCTATATTTTCCATTTGCCATTTACTCCAAGTTTCTGGGCACCCCCCCTTTTTTTTTTCTGCCCTTCACATTTCCTTTGCCATGACCTAGACCTTTCGCCATATACCCTTCTTTTGCATCTCCAGAAATTGGTTCCTCATCGTTGATTGCTTTCTCCCCTGGCTGGCGAGGTTTGAACTGGGGTCGCTTTCTCTTCTTGTCTGTTGGTGGTCATCAACAATTTATGTTTACCCTGCATAACGTCTGGTGTCATCTTGGTGTTCCCAGGCTGGGTTGTTCTACGTGGTTGGGTGGCTGGATATCCTCCTCTTAACGGCATGTTATAGCGTTAATGTATGAATTGATTAAGTAATTTCACATTAGCAACATTCTTGGTGCAGTATGTAAATGTCACCCGTAGATCCTCTCCAAACAAAAAGTTGTGTTTGTGTGCCTGAGGCCGCGGGATGCGACCACCTGATCTGGAAATATATATGTGCCACAGCTTCGCGGATTCTCTCGGCCACCACCCCGTTTAGTCCCCTTCCGTCGAAGCATCCGGAATTCTGGCCCAGTATTCAGAGATCCAGTCCCACTGTGTCATCGAGATCCATGCTCCAAGTCCGATTGAGATAAGCTGCATGGATGGTCGACAGGACCATGATGCTTGCATTTCCTTATCCTTTACTTTACAGCGCAGATGGCTTGGCTCTCAGCTCTGGTGTTTGGCGTTCGTTGAACCACTTGAACCGGAGGTGGCACATAACGAGGCGTCCCTGCTTGACGTCAAAGGTACTCAATCTGGTCCGGAACCTGCTTCGGACAAAACAATTCAACACAGTTATGCTAATTCAGCCGGCTCGCAAGAGCTATGAAGATAGTTATTAAAGAGCCTCCTCAACAGACGATAATAGAAGAAAGAAGGGTTGACTCGCCGTTCTGAAGATATGCATCTTTTTCGTGGCCAATACACCTGGCCGGCCTTGCTTCGTGTTCTCTTCCGCCTTCTGTTCGTTGCAAACGGGACGATCGATATTAGGTGCACTAGTGGGGATATTGTCTGATATCTTTGGGACTGTCTTTTGCGGAGGAAGATTCAGTGGAAAGCGAGGCACTTCCATAACAAGTGGGATATCGGGGGATTGCTCTTCGCCCTCCTGAACATCCATGGCTATGGGATTGGGATATCCTGAGTACCCAGGAGTCGCTGGTCCTGTGAGTGGCACTACGGTCCGAGCGATGTATTGACTTTCCTGAGACTGGGTTTGGGGCACTCGGCTTGGGCGGCGTTCCCTCGCGGCGTTCTCGATGTGTTTCAATTTTGTGTGCGTAAAGGTCTCTCGGTTCATCATAGCTGTGGAACGGGCCATGTGATATGCACCCAGGGTTTGATTTATGTCCGCTGCCAAGGCCTTGTATAAGCGCATTATGTCTTGAGCCTTTGTTTCTGCCTTTACGGCTGATATCCATAAGATTTGGTGGTGATGCTGCAGATCAGGATCACGCTCGAAGGCTTCGCATATTTGATCTCGTGTCGATGTCATCTCCTTGAGGCCCTTGCTCATGTACTCATATAGCGTTTCGGCCATGTCTCTGCACTCGAGGGCGTATACTTGGGATTTGATCATGGGCATACCAGCAGTCTTAGCCTTTAAGACGGTGTCGATGGTCTGCCATGACTTGACTATTTTAACTTGGAGATGGTCGACCTGGATGATGGCATCTTCAACTAACCCTAGGGTTGGGTTCTGATGGGAGCCAGCGCGCGTTGTTCCTAGAGTTGGGATAGCGGTGGGGACATGCACGCCGCTGCGAGGGGTATCTGGAACTTGCTCTCCAGGCACTTCCCTTTGCGGCTGTTTTCCCTTGGATTGGTCGGTTTGAGATTCGCCCTGGTGTTCTTCATGACGAGCTATTTTCTGGTGATGCTTCCCCTTCAACATGGCCAGGATTGACCGTCGTCTCTGGGTCTCTCCTTCTCTTTCTTGCCGGCATGCTGCTAGGACTTCTACCCCGTTCATTTCTGTGCGCTGTTCCAGCTCAGATCGGACAGGACCCTCTTCTGGCAGGGTGTCTGGGTGTGCCTTGGTCTTTTCTTGCCGCTTCTGTATCGACGCTTCTACTGGTGGAAACATCGGATGATCAGCAAGTGTATGCAGCATTAGATGGAGATGGATGATCGGTGGCGCTGATCGAGCAACAAATGAGTTGAAGAAGGACAATGACGTTGGGAGTCTGTGGCTTGTCCAGGCTGCCACATCATCTATGGGTGGTACCTCGGGAGATAGACTTGAACCATGGTCAACGACAAGGGAGTTCCTGTTTGATGGTTCAATCCCATTGTTGCTACGTCAAGACTCGTAAATGTTCGTCATTCCAGAGCTCTAAATGGGTTGTCCGTGCGAGCAGCTTCACAAGCTTGCCTGGAACTATAATGCGGACCAACCACAACACTTAGCTCGTGTTACGACCAACTTCACCGGGAACACAAGGAGTAAAGGAGGCCCGAAGAAGTAAACATGCAAAACACATCTTCAGCCTCGGTCTATCCTTCCTCCGAACAAACCAGATCGTGCCAGCGCATCTTGCATATCAGCAGCCAGCCACAAGCGGGCGGGGGATCTGCAGCATTCCTGATGCAGTCAACAGCACTTATACCCCTCCCCCTCCCTCCAGCTTTCTCCCTTTCCAACCCATTTCTCTTCTGCTCAACCAAATACCTACCTTGAAACAGCTATACACCATGGCTGTCCCCTCCGGCCTCCCCAACTACACTCGCCACATAACCTCCCACAACTCCTCTGGCGAGGCAATAATACACTCCTCCACAGCAGGCGACTGGTCAAGCATCGGGGACGACAGATTCGGCTTCAGCGTCGCCTACACGACCTCGTCCTTCCCGCCCGACCTCAACAATGACGCCGATATTTCTACCCACACTGCCAAAATGGAATCCAAGAACCTCGGGCTCGTCAGCCCCAACGGCACCGTCTGCCGCGTGGTGGACTTTGCGCCAAACACAGACCCATTCATGCACCGCACGCGGAGTTTAGACTACGGAGTTGTCCTGGAGGGCGAAATCATCATGGAGCTGGACTCGGGGGAGAAAGTGACGATGAAGAAGGGCGACATAGCCGTGCAGCGGGGGACGATGCACGGATGGCGCAACCCAAGCAAGGAGAACTGGACGCGAATGCTGTTCGTGCTGCAAGACTGCAAACCCATCACTGCAGAGGGAGGCAAGCAGCTGGGTGAAGATCTGGGACATTCGTCGGATTTGCCTCCCTCCGACGGAGCTAATCAATAGCTTCTATCAATACACTGATTCTCCATACACAACCCGAGAATGAATTACACGCTCAAGGAACTTGAATAACAACCTTCCCAAAATGCCCTCCACTTTCCAAGAACCTAAACGCCTGATCAGCCTCCTCAAACCCAAAAACCTTCGACACCACCGGCTTGATGCCCTTCTCCTCATAGAATCCCACCATCTCCTCAAACCGATCCCTCGGACCATTAATAATACCCTGCAGAGTAACGGTCCGTCGTAGCGCCAGCAGATTCACATTGATTCGATCCTCCGGATCATCCACCTTGCCCGACAAATACCCAATGCAGTTAATCAAACCCCCAAAGGCAATACACTCGAAACTCTTCCTCAGCGTTCTCGCACCCCCAGTCTCAAGAATAACATCCACCCCCTTCCCCTTCGTAATGCGCAGAACCTCCTGGTCCCAGTCTGGCGTAGTCCGATAATTAATAGTGTAGTCCGCACCCAGCGCCTTCGCTTTCTCGAGCTTCTCATCCGACGACGACGTGATAATCACTATATCCACAATTTCATTAGCATCGTCACCCCAAACCAATCTTCACCCCCGAAGGGAACCGCAATGAACATACCTGTAGCCCCCAACCCCTTCGCAATCTGCAACCCCGCAACCGCAACACCCCCAGTCCCCTGCAACAGCACCACCACCTCACCACCCTCCCCAGCCCCGCGTCCACTTCTCAACTTAATCCTCTCCTCCAAACTCATCCAAGCCGTCACACTCGCAATCGGCAACGTACTTGCCTCCACATCCCCAAGGTGCTTGGGTGCCTTGACAAGCCCATGCTCCGGAAACACCCTATGCGTCGCCAACACGCCCGGCTGGGGGTGTCCTAATCCCGTCGCCAATTCTTTATCCGTAACCTGACCGGTGATGTGATCCGGAAGGAAGGTCGAGAGCACGCGATCACCGGGCTGGAAGCGAGTGACGTTGGGACCGATGTGCGTGACGGTGCCGCACATGTCGGAGCAGGGGACTTTTTGTTCCAGCGGGGCGATAGAGGAGGTGGATTTGTGGTGGGTGTATTCGCCTTTTGTTACTATTTATTGTATTTCATCGTTAGTATGGGGTTATAGTGATGAGGATGGGGTGGGGAATAGGAATGGGAGTACCCTCTACATCGCGGTAATTTAGAGATACGGCGTGGATCTCAACGAGGACTTCATGATCTCCTGGGGTTGGGATCGGGATGTTGGTGGTGGATTTGGTGAGGGAGGAGAGGCCCGTCAGGGTTGTGGTCCATTGGGTGAGGGACATTTTGTCTTCTGTTTCTCGTCCTCTGTTTGGTTGTAGTTGTAGTGGTAATAGTTTATTGAGATATGTGCAATTAGGGGAATGTGAAGGATGAGGGGAAGATAAAAAGGAGGGAAAAAAAAGAAGGGAATTTTGGAGAAATAATGTTGATGTCACGATATGCCCCACTGCGGGGAGGGTAAATGGGAGTTTGATTATCAATCAAGTACAGAGTGTGGGTAACTATGGATTTCTTCACGGAATGGGTTTGCCGGATGTGTGAGGAAGAGTGGAGAACTTTCATTGTGGTTGTGGTTGTGGTTGCGTTTCCCGACTGGGTTGGGGAGTTGGGGAGTTGGGGAGGGTGGTCTATCGGTCGGTTTCTTTGGGGTGGGGAATTGAGGTGGATATTTTGGTTTGGTTGGTACTACATCGGTGTGAATTTAGGATATTTGTAGAAGACTGTTTGTCTACGTTAGAATAGGTAAAGTTTTAGAAGCATCTAAAAGAGGTTACACAGAAATACATTGGGGTTTGGGGTTCCTAACTTACTAGAAAGACACGTAGAATAATTAGTGGGGAAAGAATGCTTCGGGCATGAGAGAATGCCTTTACATACATAAGTTGGAATAGAATACCTTATTCTAGCCGATATAATGCGTGAGATAAGATCTGCTCCTGATATGCTTTGTAAGCTAGCAAAGGCAATTAACTATAACTAATCTGCGTAGATGATCGGAGTCTAAGTTAAACCATATCATTAGATCAGAAGAATCTCTTTTCGAGTGAGTCGAGCATTTTGGAATAACCCTTTGATACGGAAAATGCTGCTACATCATTAGATGACTCCATACATTTAGTCAACCATGCCGTCTACAATATATAAGGCCAGAGGCTACAACTGTTCAATCGCACGAGCTTATCCGTGACACTTAGACAATATAATCTTCTTCGATCGCTGTGTCACGCTTGCGCTTCTGGGGAGAGTGCAATGACATGGAGCTGCGCTCAACAAAATCCCCTTCTGCTTTATCCTGATGCCCCGAACTCTTCAACGAAGCCGGTAAAACGGACGTCTTCGGGTCGTATGGTGACAATGGTCTCGGCAGCGGTGGTGGGGAACCAGTCAGCGAAGTTAAGCGAGGAATACGGTCACGGTAGTAGTCTCGCTCGTGGCGATAGTAGTCTCTTTCAGCGGTGAGGGACTGGACCTGCTCAGCTTGCAGCTGGATTAGTTCCTGCTGTTGCTCGGAGTCCCAGTTCGAGCGCAGTTTGGGGTCGGCATTGGAGTTACTCTGCATGTCGCGAAAGTGGTCCCTTTGCTCCCTGAGAAATCGAATTTCTGCGGCCTGCAGCCGGATATTCCCTTGCAGAACGTTGATCTGTCGCACCAAGCGAGCAATGCGGCTGTGACTGGCTTTTAGTTCGGCTTGATAGTCATTCCTTAACTTGTCGAGCTCAGTGGGAACCTGAGCTTCCTCGATATCCTCGTACCAGTCGAATGGGTCGTCAAGATGTCCACGCGGTAGGGGATCGACCAGCACGGATGGTGCAGGGACTCGCGTTGCTTTGTTATCCTCCTTGGGAGTCGCTGGGGAAATCGCAGACAAAGACAGGGAACTCCGAGACGTATGTGATATTGATGAAGCTGACTTTTGTCCATCATCCCAATCACTAATTCGATTTAAAAGTTCATCACCGGAGATACCGTTCAGAACGGAGATGCGACGGCGTTTGCGCGAACCAGGGGGATGGGAAATTCCTGATATGTGAGTACCAATGGAGGTTGCGGGAGAAACAGGTCGGGACATGTGGTTGAATCGAAATGAACAAGTTTCAATCTGGGGCGTCTCTGCGGTGGTGGAGCGGTTCACAATGTCGGAGAGGTTTCTGACATGGCCTTGTGCAGGGGCGTCATACACTGCAGATTATACTGTGACGAGGCTGACAGGCCGCCACGTCAACTTGCATGCGGCCCAACCTCACTTTCCACCACGATCGGCCACCATGACAGGAGATAATTCTGCAATGGTATACCCTCCATATAAACCCACGGAACTTACAGCGAATAACAAAACCAGAATTCAAAATAGGAAAATTCGCTTGAGCTGTGATGCCCCTCAGCCCAGGGTGACAGAAAGAATACGGGCAGTCGAATCACCCAAAGCTTGCCCCCCCCGCTTCACAATACCATCGGACACGCTGCTAGAGGACTGCACGATTGTCTGGCTTTGCCCATTGGAGGTTGAGCTCCGAGCAGCCATTGCCATGCTCGATGATATCTCTGAAGACGTCCCCCCTAGGATCCGAGGACAGAACGTCGTCTATACGATCGGAGACATCGGCCCTCACAAGGTGGCTGTCGTCGGTTACTATCAAGAGCAAGGTCTCGCCGTGTCTGGCAGTATGGCCGCCGAAGTTGTAAGGGACCTGCCAAACCTGCAATTGGGACTCTTGGTTGGTATTGCTGGTGGGATACCATCGCCAGGCAGCGATATGCAACTGGGAGATGTAGCAGTGGCTGTCCCCGAAGGTGATCGCCCTGGGGTAGTAGGATATGACCTTGGAAAGGCAGTAGAAGACGACGGCTATGAATTGAAACACTGGCAAAACTCCACCCACCCCCTGCTGCGATCAGTGATTAACCTACTTCGAGCCCGGAATGGTCTGCGATTCCGTAGACACTTGCACGTCCTAGACACGCTATCCGAGTTTCGGAAGCCTGAACTGGGCGCTATACATACCACTGATACTCATCCCAAGGTCCATTACGGTACAATTCTCTCCGGAAATACAGTGGTGAAATCGAAAGCCAAAAGGGAACAACTGAGAAGTCTTTATGGCGGTATCGCAGTGGAAATGGAAGCTGCTGGCATGATGACACGGTTGCCAGTGGCTGTTATTAGGGGTATCAGTGATTTTGCAGATTCGACCAAAAACAATGCATGGCAACCATATTCAGCCATAGTTGCAGCGGCATACGCTAAGGAAGTTTTGCTGTGCCTGCCTCCTGAACATCGACAAAGCCTGAGGCATATCTCCGGTACGTTAGCCCCGATAAGGAAACAACTTGAGGAAGCTCTAAACTACAAGACTAATTCTCCGCTCTTGGCAGTCTCGCTACAGAACAATACACAACACGGGAAATCAACATCGTTCGCAGATCAGGATCTTCGTTTAGGACGGACGCTACCAGAAAAGTGGGCTTTTGTAGGAAGAAAGGAGGAAATGGCTCTCCTGGAGAAGGAGCTGGGCTTTCCAGTACAATCTCCCATACAAAGGTCGGTTGTCTGCCTCTGGGGCCTCACTGGCAGTGGGAAGTCACAGTTGGCTGCTAGGTTTGTGAGCCAACAGCGTTCTAATCACCCAGCGCGTGAGATCTTCTGGATAAGCGGCGAAAGTCAGGAAAGTTTTGAGCAAAGTGTAATTGCCATGCTAAAGTCTGGGAGCGTGGAAAATCCTTCCTTTTCTGGGAGTTTGGATATGGCCGCCGAGAAGCGACGTAATCTCGTAGATCTGTTCTTTGCTGAGCTGGATCAAATGACCGATGGGAGATGGCTGCTAGTCATTGATGGAGTCAATGGAGCCAGTCCCTCATCGAACAATAGGTTCCCCTCTTATGACATCCACAGCTATATTCGTGGTCTTAATCGGGGGTATGTTCTCCTCACTTCTAGGAGGCGCGATGTGGTTGAGAAGTACTACCTTGGCCACGAGGTGAGAGGGTTGGATGATAACGATGCACTCAGTCTACTCCAGTTGCAAGTTCACCCGCAGCTGATGGAAGGTACTTCCCTGACGCCTGTCTTGGTCCTTGTTTCCAACTATAGCTAACGTATCACATGCAGGGGCGGCAGAACTGGTGTCCATGGTCAGAGGCCTCCCACTAACACTTCGTCTTGCGATGTCTGTTATATGTCGCTATCGTTTATCAGCTCGGGAGTATTTAGAGATGTGGAAGGGGCATTACGAAGCTTGTGAAGTCTTGGGGCCTGATGAAACATTATATCGCTCCATGAATCTGAGCTTTGAGGAGCTTGAAAGCGTCGACCCAACCGCTGCAAAGGTATTAACCCTCTTCACCTTCCTCCACAATCGTGACGTATGGTACGACATCTGCCTTGATGCTACAGAGCATATCTATCCGCAATGGCTGCAAAAACTGGCTAAATCCAAGACGCCATTCAGGCGATTCTATCCTCTTTTGGCCGATCTGTCCTTCATTGAGATGAAAATCTCCTCCAAGGGTGACAGGTCATGGGAGATACACCCTGCAATTCAAGTGATTGCCAGACAACGCGCAAAGGCTAGCGAGAAAGAATACATATCTTGGGTGATCTCTCTCGTGGCTGCAAAAGTCCCCAGATCTTTTGAGATCAACGCCTGGGAGACTATGCGGCGACTAGTGCCCCATGTCGAGTTATGTTGGAGTTACATCACCGGAGGAAAATGGGGACCGAACACTAACTTGACTGAACTGGAAAAGCTGGGCCATGTGTTCAGAAGTTTTGGGAAGTACGTCGAGGCGTCGCTCATATACCGTATGATTGTACATGGCCTGAGCATCCAGGATTCCACCCCGGACAATAATGAGTTCCTAGCTGACGTTATCACCAACCTTGGATTGGTTTACACGTCCCAACGAAAGTTGAAGCCCGCCCTAGACGCTTTCGATAGGTCGTTCCAACTGATGAGTGAACACAATATTTTGACGCCTAATGCGTCCATGTCCATCTTGTACAATAAGGCCGTGGTGTATATGATGATCGACAGACTAGATGAAGCGGAAATGCTTTTGCGGAATGCAGCTGCGCACTTCTCGGAAGACTCGCTAAATGCTCACGCCCTGATGGGTAAGGAGAAAAGCAACCTGTACCTGCGCATTCTAAACGATATTGGCGAAGTCTTGTTGCGAAAAGACTCTGCATCCGAGTCACTGAAAGTTTTTCAGTGCATTTGCTCCAGCTACAAGGACTGGCAAGATGACCATCATCCGGCTCGGATGTCAGTGAAGTTGAACATGTGACGAGCTCTGACTAGGCTTGGTAGGTATGCCGAGGCTCGAGAATTGCTCGACAATGTCATTTCAGTATATACTGAATGGTGGGGACGACGACACCCCGAGACTATGCGAGTGATTGACGAGCTGGCCTGGAGTTTCATGGAAGAGATTCAGAACAAACGGACAAATGGTGAAAATTGGGATTCGTTGACGGGAAAGGCTGAAGAGCTTTGGAACGAAGCATTGATCTTCTATCGCAATTTCCATGGCGATGGGTCTGATGTGGTGCGTCTTATTGGAAGAAACATGGAAACTCTATACTCCTTGCAAGAGCCTGCGAGGATTTTAGAGTACGACGGTTGCGATGTCGGGTTGACGCGAAGGTGAACTACCTGGTTACTACCTGGTTAAACGTTTTGTTATTACCAGAAAGCACCAGCACACTGCTGGCCACCTGGGAGACATATCTTGCCGTATGTAGGGTCCCAGAGACTTTTGTACCCCGAGGAATGTCTTAAGGAAAAGCAGCTTAGATGGCTGATAAAGGAAACCAGGATAAAGCCACGAGACACATCACTCAGATCTTTTCAGAAGAGTAGATCTTTCGCCCAACCATTGGTTGTCGGCTCTTCGCTTCATCGTTTGTTGGAAGATTCACGGTGGCCAGACACTTCACCCTATCCTCTGCCACCAACGTGGCCCTACCCATGGCCTGCTTCGATGCACACGGAGCTTGCCTACGCAGCACCGGGAGCAACCGCAAGGATCGGGTAGCACAGTGCGCGCCTTCGCCTACAAACGGCTCCAAACTCATAACCTTTCTGCGCCAAGTCCATCAATTCAATCAAGACCCTCGTCCTGTTCTGTGCATGTATATTCAAGCGGTTGCAGTAAGAACTGAAACCCTTACGGGATCACAATTCACCAAGATCCGAACAAATCCAAGTACACTTCACTACTTGTGATCCGAGACTTCACCATGCTAATAATGGCTTCGAACCCGGTCCCCTATGTACTTAAGGGGCAGTGTTGGAAAATCCAGCGCAGCTTGTCACTTCAACGAATCATCTGGCAGCCTCCTATATAATCTTTCCCTCCCCTTCTGATCTCTTCCTCTCCACATTTTCTAGGTCTAATCAGCTCTATATAAACCTACATCTTGACGTCTCAACATGATGTCTCGTTCTTTGGATACTCTTTCTTATAGAATGACATTACCATCGCTTGCAGAACTTAAATTTGCAATCAACACTGTGATTGAACTACCCAAGATGATTCCAAGCAGAATATGCTCTGACGACCAATTTGGGTTTAACAGTAACACAAGTCAGTCCTTATACCCCCGTCAGCAGCGGTAACGAAGGGCACTATAAATTCTAAATCACCTCCTCACATCGGGGACCTCGATCTTTCGGTTTTTGGAAATATACAGCTGTGGGCTACGGCCTACTGCCGCAAAAAGGACAAGATATGCAAGCAATGCCAAATGTCTGGCAGATAGTCTCAAATCAAAAGGGGACTTCATTCTATCGCAATCTCGAGAGGTCATAGTGTTTCAAGGGTTAGATGATGTACGTGAGGCTTTTGGAGAAAAGGGTGACGGCGTGGTGGACAACACTTCAACTGGACAAATGAGAACCTCATACTAATATAAGGTACTAAAATAAAATACTATACACTGCAACTGTTTGTGTTGTATCTATAAGTAGGTAACTAGTAATGCCTATGATACGCCCTTTCCTTCGCCCGCTGTATCTGGCCTGCGCTTTTGAAAAAGGCGATTGTATGTAGGTTTCCCGTGTAGAACTATGACTCTATCTTTCCTGGTATCCCTGACCCATGGGTGAAAGAAGCCTTGGTGGCGGTTTAGGAGAGAGATCGTCAGCCCAACGCCAGCGATGTACTCGCAGTACAAGCCTCACTAATCATGGTAATAGTATCTTTGCATCGTGAGAGATTGGGTTCAATCGGCCTGCTGCCGGAGCCTCTCCGCCTATTGCTAGACCCGCCGGGCCAAGAGACTGATGAAGCAGCCATATGCTATATGCTTAACTCGATCGTGGTATTATACTCGGACATTCACTTTAGCCAGACATCTCCTGATCCTTTGTCACCTCCGCCTGCGTCGTCTTCCAAACACTAACGCGCCATCTTGAGAACTGGATTAATTATATACACATACAACCGAGCCAGTCCTCGCCTTTTGTCTTGAGACTGGATTGTGTGAGAGTCGCATGCACTATACCCTTCTTAGGTGAGTTTCTGCGCGAGTGCTAGTCCTCGAGAGTCCCGAAGCGAATAAGAAAAATAAGAAAATCGGATTATTGCATTAGCTGCGAACGCCTCACTGACCTCATCAAAGAAAAGAAATGCCACATCCTTCAGCGGACCTATGTTTAGAAGTTACTATACACAAAATCTCTTCTCGTATTTATTTATTGTTATTTGTTCTATTCACTATCACTGGCCACTAATCTAAAATGGTGTCATCCAAAGGGTATTGTTTCTGTTGGGTAATGTTACTTGTGTATAAACGATGTATTTAGGAACAAGTATCTTACCAAATGTTTCTTTGTATCAGACACGCCGCAGCTGGTGTATTGGGACGGCGTATTGATGTATTCGGTGAGGTATATTCCAGAACGAATCCTACGCCCTAGCCCAGTTAAGCGATTTCATTCTACTGGTTCAGCACTAATACAAGGAGGTTTTTCTAATTTTCCCCTTCAAGCACCTACAAGGATAGTGGTAACGTAATGGGAAGCCAAGATTGACTCAGAAAGTACCCCGGCATATCCTCAGCTTTTCTAAGCGATGATAGTGTTCGTCAATCCTTACAGCTCCCTTAGCTTGCTTCGGAGTTTAATGCTGAAGTGAGATAATCTAGCTGCATGTCCAGTCTAGAGGGAAGATGTTCTAGAAATTTCGTCCTATAATTGGGGTAACATTGGGGGCAGCACTAGTAAGCTGCGGAGTGGTGTCTTAACTTAGATACGTAGATCATTCAATCAGCGCCATGATGTCACTTGATAATTCCCAAAGCAGGATCAAATGGAGACATCTTACCTTCTAAGTGATTAGTAGTTCATTGCTTACTACAATAGTTATGTATAGTTATAGTGCTTACTATTATGTGTATTATATTGCTTACTATCATATTATGTGAGACCATGTTCATCACGTGATCAGTACACATTCGATACTTATGTGGTATCTTACAAGTGTATTTCATCGGCTGCGTATAGGTGTTTCAGGTACTGCTCAATGGGATTCGGCCCCCATGAGGCTTTCTGGAATACGAGGACGAGGTAGTAGAGGAAGAACGAGAAGAATATTTATTGCATGATTCTTCAATAACTGTAAAGTGCATTTTATTCCATAATTGCGGTTTTTGGTTGCAAATATCTATAGTGTTATCAATTGCGCTGCAACAGAACCTCACAATAAGTCCCTTTCCACCTCCTCCTACTCAGTCCCTAGGTGGGTAGCCTTCTCGCAGCTGCAAGTACGTAATCTGACAAGTGGCCATTCTAGAATGGGAAAAGCTCGGGATTGCGCCTATGGATGGTCAGTAAATGTTCTTAGACAGGAGAGCGAGTATTTTGACTGACAGCTTCTGCGTTTTTTAGTGAACGCTCATGTCGAGTGTGGGTATTCGGTATCTACTGGCCATTGGTCAGAACCTCGACTGGTTGAGGATCCTTTGCTACGCATTCATGGTCTCGCGCCAGGGCTCAATTATGGTATGCGTGCGTGCCGATGGCCATAATTCAATAACTGAAAACGCGATAGGCCAACAAGCATTTGAAGGAATGAAAGGTATTGTGATATGATACCGACTGGTGATAGTTCCGAGCAAAACATGGAACTGACTTTAAATCAGCCTATCGTGACCCTCAAGGCAACATTAATGTGTTTCGTCCCAAGGACCATGCAGCCCGGCTGGCCTTGTCGTGTTCAGCAGTTGCTATTCCCACCATTCCAGAGGACCTCTTCCTGCGTAGTGTCAATCTCGTCATTGCCAGCAATGCGGAGTATGTGCCACCACACGATACAGACGCTGCCCTCTACATTCGTCCTCTGGTGTTCGGATCGGATCCGTTCTTTGCAGTCTCCGCGGGGACGGGGTACAAGTTCTGCATTTATGTCCAGCCCTACAGGGCCTACCATGGAAGTCAGCCTATACCAGCCCTGATCCTGGAAGACTTGGACAGGGCTGCTCCTAAAGGCGTGGGCCATGTCAAAGTCGGTGGAAATTATGGTCCCGTCCTGAAATGGAGTGATCAAGCCCGTGCTGAGGGTTACTTCATTACTCTACATCTCGACAGCCGAACCAATTCTGAAATTGACGAGTTCAGCACCTCCGGGTTTATCGGTCTGAAGAAAACCGGAGATTCCTTCACAGTGGTGGTACCCAGTAGTCGCTCAATCCTGAAAAGTGTGACCAGCACCACATGTCTGGATCTGGCCAGGTCCCTAGGTTGGAATGTTGAGGTCCGCCCGGTATGACTCCACAATCGAATACATTCGGTTCCTTGCATTGGGAATTGTGATTACATAGGCTGACCTCGAATGCAGATTCCATATCCCGAACTCCAATATTTCAGTGAGGTCATTGCGGTCGGCACTGCGGCAATGCTAGTCTCCATCAAGTCGATCACCCGAAGGTCTACTGAGGAGACTTTTGCATATAGCACTGACGGCTCAGGCGACGGTTGTAAGCAGTTGCAACAGGCTCTTCTGGACATTCAGAAAGGAAGAGTCAAGTCCAATGAGGACTGGCTATGGCAGGTTTCGCCTGTTGAGCAGCCAAGTGGTGATGAAAATGCATGACTGTAGAAACGAAAGCGTGGCAACTAGCTATATATTTTATGAATTCCCCTTACACTTATTATGGCTACATAGACGGAATAGATCATTTGCAGTCCTTTACTAGATCTTGCACAGTACTATATATTAATCAGTTGATCATGATGAGACGCTCGTTATATTTCATTTGTGAATCATGTACACAATGACAGTGGCTCCTGAGGATTTTCTTCATCTGTATAACTCACTCAATTCGGCACCATTCATCGAGACGCGCCAAGAACTTGTATGCTATCGCCCGTGCGGTCCCGCAAGGCTTCCAAGTCTATCGCGGGCAGCAATATTCGTACCTGAGGCATAAAAGCTCTCATCCTACTGCCTGAAAATCATGGCATGAGGTCCTTCCACATATTGAATTGGCTTCGTACATATCCACAGCACTGAGGTCTATGTAATGCTAGTGCCACGGGAGGTAATCTACTTGTCAGTCGTCCATTCTATGCAGTTTTCCTATCGATGCTGGCAGGTAAAAGGGGACTCTATGTAGCCGAAGATAACCGGAAGCGCTACCGTCACACCGGATACTATCCGCTCGTGCTAGACGATCGGCCTCAGGAAGCCTCTGCAAAAGACCTCAGCGAAGCCCTTGCTGAACCGTCATATGTGGCTTCTAGCTGGGCTTTCTTGATTACTACAACAGTCAGTTGCCAGTTGAAGACAGCCTCAAACAATCAAAGATATCATATCTTACCAGCTTAGGCAGATGTAGATGCTATCATATATTACATTCATTACATGTATTGTTACACAAATATTGATACGTAACGCCAACGTGAACAATACCGTAATTTTGTGTAAACGGTGTCGTAGTCAGACCCCGCATCATCAACCTTTGATAAGATCGGCCATGAACTGCGCCATGAACTGCGCCATGGATGCCTCTAGTTTCTCGCGTCAGCTTCCGCTACGAATAGAGCAAGGCTGCTCCGTACTCCACGTGGGTCCAAACGCACCGTCAACGGCTCCGGCCACGAGGCAGAATGTTGAGATGAGCTAGCTACTAGCGTCGCACATGGCAAACAAGTCAGGTGGCATGCTCAAGCCTCAAATGCTGACAGGAGGTCTTACTAGATAGTGTTTGGGGTGGGTTGGCTAGGGCTGAACTTCGTGTCGAAGGGGCGATTTCTCGAGAGGATTCGGGTTTCATGAAACTAAGCATAGCCTTGTGTGCACTGGGGGCCTAGCGTAGTTAAGTGGGTGTGTAGCCCAGTCACATGTCATCTGTCCCCATTTAAATCCATTTGAGTTGAAGAACTTTCAGATCTCCATGCCGCTACACTGAGTTGACTCTAACGATTAACCTGGGTCAGCGTGCAAGAGGTACCCATGGCTGCCGATATGGATACCCAGCGCAAGCTGGCTCGCATACTGCTCATTGAGCTCATGGCGTGAGTAGAATATGATGAAGGGCGAAGCATGGGACAATAGCACTGACTGACAGCTGGGCTTTGTTTGACCTAGATACCAATTTGCCTCCCCAGTACAATGGATTGAAACGCAGGACGTAATCCTCTCTCGCAGGGAGTGCGACAAGATCGTCGAAATCGGGCCCACTCCGACACTCGCGGGCATGTTTCAGCGAACCCTCAACAGCAAGTACCAGACTCAGGAGTGTACTAGATCTACACCTCGACGACTCTTGAATTCGGAGAAGGACACCCAAGAAGTCTATTTCGAAGACCGCCCTGGTGCCCCTGATGCTAAACTGAAGGAAAGGACAAAGAACGCAGCAAATACAGCTACCATACCATCACCTGTCAAAACAGAAGTGGCTCCTGTA